CTGACAATATGTCTAAAGTGTGAGAGACGAAGTTTGGCCATCCTGGCCTCCAAGGAACACTCTGGCTGCACTTCTTCCAACACAGATCTGTTGGTTCGTTTGGCAGCCATGGCACTTTCAATATTCCTCTCCAAAACCATAACTCAAAAGCAACAATTCTTTTGCGGTCTTTCTGATTCTCTGTCCAGCTTTTACATGCATATGAGTTTATTGAAAATACCATGGCTTGGGTCAGGTGCACCTTAGTCCTCAAGGTAACATCTTTGCTCTTCAACACTTTAAAAAGGTCTTGTGCAACAGATTTGCTTAATGCAGTAAATCCTTTGATTTCTTGACTGCTGCTTCCGTGAGTGTTGATAGTTGATGCAAGAAGAATGAAGTCCTTGACAACTTCAATCTTTTCTCTATTGACAAGAATGTTGTTTACTGGTCCTCTGCCCACTTTGAAACTGACAGTTTATTCTGGTTTCCATGTTTCCCTTATCTAGATTTTGTTGTTGTTCCATTGCCCCTTAGGAGGTCATTGATGACTTGTGAAGACCAATATTTGAATTGTTTTATACCATTGATTCTCTTCATATTTCAGGTTTACTCCTTCATTAGATCTTCAACATTGTTTCACCCTTACTTTACATGCTATATGTCTTGCTTATATCATATATTTCACTAGAACTTCTTTCCTTACCACTTAACTATTGGAGTTCTTCAAGAATTTGTCCTTGGTTTATCTATTTTATTATGGTAAATATATAGGTAGCAAAACACTTGTCATTTCCATTATGTTTACATGTACAGTTCAGTGAACATTGAACATACTTATGTTCATCATGTTATTCATCCATCACCAATAGCCAGTCCATAACCCTTTAACAGAAGCTCATTGTCTTCTAAGAATTGTTTCTTCTCTCCTCAGACCTCCCACCTGCCTTTGGGAATCACTAATAAATTTTGATCTTTGTGCTATTCTAAATGTGTCATAAAGTGGGATCATACAGTATTTGTCCTTTTGACTTATTTCAATCAGCATAATATTTTCTAGGTTCTCCCATGCATTGGCTTGTAAAAAAAAAATCTATTATGAAACTTTTAAGTTATAAGGAAAGATAAAACTTAAAAAACTGATCTGAAGGCCCTTGACTAATGGCATTTTTAAGACAAATAAACCTATTTATTGGGTGTAATAATAAACAATGAAGAAAATGGGGGAAACCTTACTTATTCTCCTATCTTCCCATTTTTCTTCCTAGAAAAAAAATCCTTTCATTTTCCATACATTGTCCTTTTTATAAAAAGATACTTTTTCCACATTCACATTTTCAGAGTAGTTGTGTCTGGTAACAAAAATGGCCAGCTTCTCTTTCAGCTTTGATTGCACAGATTCCTAACTGAAGGTTATTTCTTAGAAGTCATGGGTTCTAATTGTTGTTGCATGATTGACTTCTAGCTTGCCTATGTAGATAATGTTTAATAAATACAAAACCCAAAATATTTGATGGCCAAGTGTTGCTGAACAGTACATATTTATAACTAAATCATTTACAATAAGTACCTTCTAAACTAAAACATTATTTGATCTTGATTTTACTGTTCCTTCCAGTGAAATAAAAATAACAATATTTAAGATATTATCTATATACAAATTTATACCAATTTCTGTTTTTTATATCCCAAGGGAATACAAGCACAAGCAGAATTATAGTATTCAACTTCATGAAAAACTAATAATCAGAAAAAAATGCTAATTGTTGAGATTTCTAAAATAGAGGTCCTAAAAAGAGGAAACAATGTAAGAAGTTACAAAAATTTACATTAATTTTTAAATTTAAGCCTTGAGGTTTAAGAGAAAAGGATTTTAATTTTCTGATGTGGTACAATTTAAAATGAGGAGAAACATCTGTAAACATCCATTAATAATCAGAAGGTGGAATGTATGAGAATATGAATCTAGGAAAATTAGAAGTCATTAGAAGTAAGATGGAATGCATAAAGATCTATATCTGAGGCATTAGTGATCTGAAATGGACTTGTGTTGGCCATTTTGAATTTGACAATTATATGGTTTACTCTGCTGGGAATGACAGATTGAAAGGAATGGCACCGCATGTGTAAGAGCATTTCAAGATCTAGCTTGAAGTACATCGTTATCTGTGCTTTGATATTATCCATACACCTACAAGGAAGACCAATTAATATCACTATTATTGAAAGCTATGCACCAGCCACTAAAGCCAGTGATGTGAAATTGAAGAATTGTACCAACTCTTCAAACCAACTTACCAGAATTTGGCAACAACCGCAATTACCACTTCTTCAATCTGAAATTGATCAAATATTCAATTAAGATGTATTGATGAATGCTGGTGACTGGAATGCAAAAGTTTAAAGCAGAAAAATCAGTAGTTGGAAAATATGTCTTTGGTGTTAGAAGCAACATTGAAGATTACATGATAGAATTTTGCAAGAACAACAACTTCTTCATTGCAAGAATTTCTTTTAAAGAACATAAAAGGCAACTATCCATGTGTACCTCACGAAATGGGTACACAAGAGTCAAATTGACTTTATATGTGGGAAGGGATGATAGAGAAGGTCAGTATCATCAGTCAAAACAAGGACAGGGTCAGACTATGGAACAGACCATCAATTGTTCATATGCAAGTTTAGACTGAAATTGAAGAAAATCCAAAGATTTCCACAAAAGCCAAAATGACCTTGAGTGTATCACAACTGAATTTAGAGACCATCTCAAGAACAGATTTGGTGCTATAGACACCAATGACTGAAGACCAGAAGAGTTGTGGTATGACACCTAGAGCATCAATACAAGAAGAAAGCAAAAGATTATTAAGACGACAGGAAAGAAAGAAAAGAACACAATGGATGTTAGAAAAGACTCTGAGACTTGCTCTTGAACATAGAGAAGCTAAGCAAATAGAAGAAATGAAGTAAAAGAACTGAATAGAAAATATCAAAGGGCGGCCCAAGAAGACAAAGTATAATGAAATGTGCAAAGACCATGAGTTGGAAAACCACAAGGGAATGAACCTTTTTCACCTGTTAAAAAGCAGAGATGTCACGTTGAGGATTAAGGTGTGCTTTACCCATGCCAAGTTTCAGTTGATTCATATGTTTGTGAAAGTTGGACAATGAATACGGAAGACTGCAGGAGAACTAATGCATTTGAATTAGAGTGTTGGCGAAGAAGGCTGAAAGTACCATAGACTGTCAGAACAAGCCAATCTGTCTTGGAAAAAGTAGAGCCAACATGCTCCTAGAAACAAGGATGACAGGACTTCCTCTTTAGTCCTTTGCATCTGTAGTCAGGGGAGCTTAGTCCCTGGAGAAAAGACATCATGTTTAGTAAAGTGGAGGGTAATAAAAAAGAAGGACTGACTTCTTCGTCACTGGATTGACACAGTGGTAGCAGCAATGAGCTCAGACATAACATTTGTTAGGATAGTCTTGTACCGGGCAGTGATTCATTCTGCTTTGCACAGGGTCGTTATATGTAGGAAGTGACTCTAGAGTAGCTAACAACAACAACAACAAAAGCACTCAGAGCTCTTTGAACACAGCAAAATCATCTTCATAAGAAGATGATAAAAAGTAAATATTTCACCGAGAATGATAGCAGTATTCCAGTGAGTAGAAAAGATGAATTGTATTTGCATATTATCTCTATATTGCTGAAACAAAGTTGTAAATGAATTCAGTACCATGGTGTTAGGGGACTAGAAAAAGAAGCATGGGAACAGATAGATTATTGCCATGGTAAAGGTACTTATTCTCCAAGTAGGGCATTCTATCTTTTCTAGCTCTTTTTATCATTTGGGTAGTGTTCTATTTGTTTCATGAGTTCAGAAGTTTTAATTAGGTATGTCATGTTTCAAAGACAAAAGCAATGCTTAATTCACTCTAATCAACATGTTAGTCATTGCTTATACCTAGGGGATTCCTCCTCTACGGAGAATAATACCGTTTTCTTCTTCCTTTGTTGATAAACCATAATTTTACATTGACCTACAGGCGCCAAAATTCTTTAAACAAAATCATCCTAGACTAATACAGATATTCATCCTTTTAGCTTACTGCATTCTATTTTACCCCTGGTTTTATTCTTTGAGAAATACCATATTCAAAAAATAATTCAATAAGAGCATATCAATTAAATTGGTTCCAGTAATTTATCTGGTAAGAAAAATATATATATATACAGATTTGTTCTGTATTTTAATTTGGTTATATTTTCTCCTCTAAAGTAGATGTGTTGTGTGTTTTCTGTTGATTGAAAAGGTTTTAGTAGTTGTCAAATAAATCACCAGTGTAGCATTGGTTTGTAGAAACAGGTTCACCTATTTGCCTGGGAACCTATTCATTATGAAATCACAGGGTTGTTGTTTTTTTGGTTTTTTTTTTTTAGAAAAGTGATTTTTGTGATTTACTCAGCCCAGTGCATGATCTTAAAAAAACTGGGGGCAGGAGGCTGTTGAAGTTTCAGTCCACCCTAATTCGGTTACAGTTTGCTTTGTTCACCAATCAGTGTGATCCTCCTGGCAGGGAACATGATCCCCAGAACAAAACTAGTAGTGACTGTGAGATCAAAAGGCATTGAATTTTGCTTTTAAGGCAAAGGGTGGGGGTGGTACAGTCTACAAGAGAATGAAAATAGGAATGAAAGTATAGCACTGTTAACCTGCAGATCTATTGTACCGTTGAAAATCTTACACTGCAGGAAAAAGAAAAGGCGTGACCCTACAAAGGTACTTAATTGTGAGCCTGAAAATCTTGAAAGAGGTCACCATTCAAATACTCACCAAGTACTTGACAAGAAAATAGACTATATTATTCATTGTTGAGAAACCAGGGAACACTTTTTCTTAAATTGACAGTATAGTAGTTCAGCAGAATGTGAGGTGCCATAATATATTATTTATTCTCTACCAGAACAACTTTTTAGACACAGTGAGGATGATGGGGTCACGAAGAGTACTCCAGAGAAGAATGGGAAAGAAATGTCGGAACAGACATTACAGAAGGTAATCTAATCTTTAAGGTATTGAGCTGAACAAGTTAAATCTGAATTTTAACATAAAGGATTATATTTTAAAAGGAGGGCTCATGAATTTAAACCTTGTGTGAATCCTTAATTTAAATTCATAATTCAAAATCATTGGCTTGCCAAAATGTGTAAAAAAAAAAAAAATCAATGTTAGTGAAATAAATGTAGAAGCACTTATGCTTCTGTTGACATATATTGAAAATATTTTCAAAGGAAAAATGAAGAGACTAAAAGCAATAGATATTATCAACATTTAGATTCTATATGCTTATTATTTATAAGCTAATGGCTTATGTGTAAAATCTCTCAGTGATGAAACTTGGTCTACTAAATTTCACCAAGAGTGCAGATCTCTAGTTGTTGAACTGAAAGAACAGGCACATAGTTTTGGGTCTCCCATAGGTTTGGGTCTCCTAGATAGTAAAATGGTAATTTGTTTATAATTTAAATTTCAAACCTGAAAAATATACATACCTCATTTCATTTTAGATAAAAATCTATCTCAATATAATCTACTATGTTAACAAGAATCTATACTTAATTCATATTTTGTATCTATGAATCTATTATCAGGTTCAATTAAGTGGGCTCCATTGTATTTTACTGGGTTTTGTTATTATTTAAAGAAGGAAAGTGCTCTTTAAATAGCTTTATCCTTCTACCTGATTGCCATCTGGTTCCACTTTGATTAGTTTGCTTCTCACAAATTCATCATACTTAAATCCAGCCCAAAATAAGCAAATATATAAGCAAAAATGTTAGCACAGCTACTTAAGTTTGTTATATCTGCAAATTGCTTTGTAGGAAATCTAGTGATTTTTACAGCCGATAATTGTTATTGTTGTTGTGAAGTGCCAGCAAGTCGGTTCCGACCCATAGCCACCTTGAATAGGGTTTCCGAGGAGCAGCTGGTGAGCTTGAACCACCGACCTTGCTGCTCAAACGGCTTTACAGTCAGGTGCATTAACCCATAGTACTACACCAGGACTCCACACCCAGTAATAGGATTCTTTATATTCTAGCACTTGCCATATGGTCAGATAATGAAGGCTGTCATCTCACTATTACTGAACGGCACATATCAGGTTAACATAATAGCAGAGAGAACAGGAAATGCTCACGTTCATTTATCTTCAGGTAAAGCAAGTCATTAAAAGAATCTGTGCATCACCAGCTAAAATGCCACGCAGTTTATACTAGCTTTTCTTTGTTTAAAAGCAGTATTTTTGTTTGCTAGGTGTAATATAAGGTTAATCTCTCTGAATGTGTAATGTAACGTCTACTTCTATCTTGGATCTGGTAATCCACTTTAATAACTAACAAATTCCTTTCATTGGACCATATGTAAAATTAGCATATTAATTCATAATTATTTCGTATTAACCTAATGCAATTGTAAGGAGTCCTGGTAGCACAGTGGTAAAGCACTTGGCCACTAACTGAAAGATTGTCTGTTCAAACTCACCAGCCGCTTTGAAGATACGCTTCTGTAAAGATAACATCCTAGGAAACTCTGTTGAACAGTTCTACTGTACCCTATGGCGTTCTGCTATAGGATGAACATTGGACTGCAAAGTCAGTTTGAAACACAAGGTTGGCAGTTCAAACCTACCAGTTACTCCTCAGAAACTCTATACAGTGTCACTATGAGTCAGAACCTACTTGATAGAACTTAACAACAGAATGACGCATAAGAACAAAATGCCATTGCAAGAGAATTTAACTCCTTAGAGTTGAGACTTCTTACTTCAAAAGAATTTATATAGAAGTCAGCTAAAATGGGTCTAAAATATAGTAACAAGATACAAACAAAATTGTACATAGTTGCCATGAAACATAGCATATTATTTTCGAATTAATGCATTAATATGTCACAGATCACAATGCCAAAGTTTTTTAAATTTTTAAAATTTTAGACCTTCATGGTAAATTTTTAAAATATTCAGTACTGGAAGAAAAGTATATATGTGTTTGAGCTGATTTATCTCACTCAAACCAAATGACTTTAAAAATTCCCCATACTTTACAATGAAATTTGTCTTTCTGTTTTTAAAAGTTTTAAACTCAGTTTAACAACAATTTGTGAAACTGTACCTTGAGTAACATTTTAATAGGTGTTATGAACTCTCCAAAGCCTTTAGAAGTAGTTTTAAAATTTTTCTTCCTTTTTAAATTATTTGAAGACAAATAATTTTGACCATTCTTAGTATTAAACATAGAGTTACAGTAGGCATTTAGCATTTTATTATAGACATTTAAGCCACAGATACTGTCAATTAGTGAGAAAATTACTATGAATTGTGTCTAAATATAAGTACATTTTAGTCAAAAAGTGCTACTTTTTAGAATTCAAATTTGAATGGAAGAGGCTATATTTGTTCATAGCATGTTTTGCTTTAATCCAAAATTATGAACTTAAAGGTTAGTTTAACTGAACTAAAATTTTAAATTACCTTAAGTAATTTTTTTAAGTTGCTGTTGTTATTAAGTGTTGTTGAGGAGGTTCTAACCCATATTGATCTTGTACATGGTTACTGAGAGTGGCTGGTGAGTTTGAACCACCAACACTGTGGTTCAAACCAAGTGCTTATCATACAGTGCTAAACCAGAACGTCTATTTAAGTAGCCTATTTGTTCATTTCAAATACCTTCTTTAGACAGCATAAAAGATGAGTATACACATAGACCTCACCATATGGAATACACAGAAATCAAATTGACTGCATCTGTGGAAAGAGATGATGGAAAAGCTCCATTTCATCAGTGAAAACAGGGCCAGGGGAAGACTGTGGAACAGACCATCAATTGCTCATATGTAAATTCAAACTGAAGCTGAAGAAAATGAAAACAGGTCCATGAGAGCCAAAATATGACTTTGAATATATCCCACCTGAGTTTAGAGATCATCTGAAGAACAGATTTGATACATTAAACACTAAAGTTCGAAGACTAAAGAGTTGTTGAATGACATCAAGAACATCATACATGAAGAAAGCAAAAGGTCATTGAAAACACAAGAAAGAAGGAAAAGGTCAAAATGGATGTCAGAAGAGACATTGAAACTTGCTCTCCAGCGTAGAGATGCTAAAGCAAATGGAAGAAATGAGGAGGTCCAAGAGTTGAATAGAAAATTTCAAATGTCAGCACGAGAGGATAAAGCCAAATATTACAACAAAATGTGCAAAGATCTGGAGTCTGAAAACCAAAAAGGAAAACCATGCTCAGCATTTTTCAAGCTAGGGGAACTGAAGAAAAAATTCAAGCCTCGACTTTCGTTATTGAAGGATTTTCTGGGCAAATTTTTGAATGATGCAGAAAGCATCAAAAGAAGATGGAAGGGATATACAGAGTCACTGTACCAAAAGGAAATGGTTGATATTCAACTATTTCAAGAGGTAGCATATTATCAAGAGCCAGTGATACCGAAAGAAGAAGTCTAAGGTGCATTGAAGGAATTGGCAAAGAACAAGGCACCGGGAATTGATGTAATACAAATTGAAATCTTTTAAGAAAATGAGGCGGCACTGGAGGCACTCATTCATCTATGCCAAGAAATTTGGAAGACAACTATCTGGCCTACTGATTTAAATAAATCCATATTTGTGCCTGTGCTTTATTGACTACATAAAGTCTTTCAATTGTGTGGATCATGACAAGCTATGGATAACACTGTGATGTATGAGTGAACACTTAATTGTACTCATGAGGAATTTGTACATGGACCAAGAGGCAAATGTTGAACAGAACATGGGAACACTGAATGATTTAAAATTAAGAAAGGTGTGTGACAGGGTTGTATCCTTTCACCATATTTATTCAACCTGTATGCTGAGCAAATAATCCGAGAAGCTGGGTAATATGAAGGAAAACATGGCATCAGTTTTGGAGGGAGACTCACTAACAACCTGCGATATGCAGATGATACAACCTTGCTTGCTGAAAGTGAAGAAGACTTAAATATTTAGTGATGAAGATCAAAGAGCACAGCCTTCAGTATGGATTGCATCTCAATATAAAGAAAACAAAAATCCTCATCACTGGCACAATAAATAACATTCTTATCAAGGGAGAAAAGATTGAAGTTGTCAAGGACTTCATTCTTCTTGGATCAACTATCAACACTCATGAAAGCAGCAATCAAGAAATCAATTGGCGTATTGCATTAGGCAAATATGCTCAAGACCTTTTTTTAAAAAATAATGTTTTATTGTGAATTGTGTGATAGTTTACATGGGAGAACATTAGTTTTACATTCATTCTATCGTATATCGTTTCATTGCCATGGTTACAATCCCCTCCATGCATCCTCAACAAATCAAGACATTTTTAAAGTGTTGAAGAGCAAAGATGACAGCTTGAGGACTCTTGTATGCCTGATCCAAGCCATGGTATTTTCAATAACCTCATATGCATGCGAAAGCTGGACAATGAATAAGGAAGACCATAGAAGAATTGATGCTTTTGAGTTTCAGTGTTAGAGGAGAATATTGAAATATGGGCTGCCAAAAGAACCAACAGATCTGTGTTGGAAGAAGTGCTGCCAGAGTGCTCCTTGGAGGCCAAGATGGCCAATCTTTGTGTCTCAGACTTCGGACATATTGTCAGGAAGGTCCAGTCTCTGGAGAAGAATATCATGTTTGGTAAGGTGGAGGGTGAGAGAAAAAGAGGAAGACCTCCAGCGAGATGGATTGGCAAAGTGGTAGCATCAGTGGGCTCTAGTGTGGCAACAATAGTGAGGTTGGCGTAGGATCAGGCAGTGTTTCATTCTGCTGTTCATAAGGCCTCTATGAGTCAGTACCAACTCGATGGCACCTAACAACAACAACAAATAATAACACAAACAATAATGATGGTGGTTATGTTCTACGGAGTCGGTTTTACATATAGCGACCCCTGTATGGGGTTTCTGAGGCTGTAAATCTTTACAGGAGCAGAAAGCCTCATCTTTCTCTCGAAGAATAGCTGGTCATTTTGAATTGCTGATCTTGACATTAGCAGCCCAACTCGTAACCACTATGCTACCAGAGCTCCTCAAACAATAATGATATGTTAACAAGTTATTTAGTACTTATTGTCTGCTAGGAGTTGTGGTATATTATCACATTAAGCACAACAAAGTTAAAAGTATGTAAAGGTGTAAAATAGATTAATTCATTTTCCAGATAAGCAGGCAGAATTGGAACCGAGATCCAGAGTAGACTCACAAGTTTATTTTCTCAAGACCACACTGCTCCTTATTAATATTTTTTAAATTCTCACTGTCAAAATCATATTTCTAAGTAGTATAATTGGTTGTTTGTCCAAAATACATTAAAAACATAGTATGTCCTCTCTACTGCATTTTGGAATCGACCATGCAACAGTATTTTAAAATTTATTTGTGGAAAGTGTATGGTTTTGGTTGGTGATTAAAGCAATTCTGAAGAGAGTACAACAAGGTGATATTCCTTATTTGTTTGTAATATTTTTCACTATATGAAGAATAAATGTTGGCGAGTGAGTGATTGGGAAGAGGTACAATGGACTCTAGAATCCCTGTTTCCTTGAACACGGCAATTTTGTCACGGCATTTTTGTCTCATTAACTAGTCCTCCAATAGTATGTTCGTGGAGAAGAAATACGAGAGTGTTTCACAGGATGTCTTGCTTTCAGGGGACAAGAACTCTGGTACAGACTTCCATGTACCTGTACTCTAGTAGAAAACCATGCTATAGAGGACATAGGTCCCATCATAGATTAACATAATTGTACTGGGATATATAAGTGACTGAAATTGGGTGCAGTTCGTTATAGAATATAGGGAAACATCCCTGTCCCCAGGTTAGGAACAGCCAATCAGTAAATCATGGTTGAATTAAAGAAGAGAAGGAATCCTGGGGTGATGCCGTAGGGTAATGCACTAGATCATAAGGTCTGTTTGAACCACAAGGTCGGCAGTTCAAACTCACCAGTTACTCACTGGAAACCCTATACAGGCTTGCTATGAGTAAGAACTGACTCCACGACTCTTAACAACAACAACAACAACAACAAGGGGGTACAGTCAGAGGTGACAGATTTAAATTTTGGAAACAAATTTTATCTTCATTATAATAAATAATCCTCACTGTAAACTGGAAAGTGTTCAGAATATGAAGAAGTTTTGTCTTGTTTATTTCTGTATAATTTGTTGTCAATACATTAAAAATGTTTCTTACTTTGAAACATTTTGTTTTTAAAGAAAGTATTTAAATCTACATTGTCTTTTAATCCTTTAGAGGTAGATGTATTAGAACTACGCTTTATCCTTCTTGGATTTTAATTCTTCTGAAAATATATTGATAAGTTAATTCAGGTTATACTTACTTATACTGGGGAGCTCACAATTACATTTAAGATAAATCTATTTTTGTGTTTACTTTGTTTACATACTTATGTAAATCCATTGCAAATCAGTACAAAATAATTCCCTTATTTCATTGGACATCCATGTATTTTCTGTCTTGACCCAGTTTTTTGTTCATTTTCCATAAATATCTGCATAAATCTTCTTCCTCAAATGGCCTCTGGAATAGTTGGAGGGGCACAACATTCTGAACTTGAGTCCCAGTTTTAACTAGGAAAGGGTTAGGTCTCTGCAGTATTTCAGCTTGCAGCACTTCCATTTCCTCTTCCAGCAAGATAATGACTGACTCTACTTAATGCACAAGTCCCTAAGGTAATTAAAGATGTCATGTTTATGAAACTGTTTTGTAAATGGTAAGATGAACTTTAAAAACATTAGTTGTAGTTTTTAACTGATTTTTGAAGGCTTCAACCAAAGGATTAAGTTCTCCATGAAATGTTTGCTGTTCTAGAGTTGGAATTAATTCCCCTTTCCCTGGTGGTCAGACTTACATCACTCTGAGCATATCCTTTTTCAGCTTTGTTTATGCAGATGTATGCAGCATAATGTGCTGGACCTTAAGGTCAGCTTGAGCCTCAAGGTCGGTGGTTCAAACCCACCAGACACTCCTTGCAAACTCTATACAGATGCTATGGGTCAGAATCGATTCTATGGCACTTAACAACAACAATGCACTTCTAACTCTTTTTTTGCATTCCTTAATGTCAAGTATGGTATGTTACTATTTTAATAATGTACAATGGATGTTGTTTATTGAATCAAAACATGTTAATTTATAGGAAATTCTGAAATTGTTATAGAATTTGCTAAACCTTTTTTTTTTCAATGAAAAATTTGTTTTTTAAACTAAGTATTATTTGCTTAAGGAGCTCTGGTACCGTAGTGGTTATGAATTGGGCTGCTAACCTCAAGGTCAGCAGTTTGAAACTACCAGCCGTTCCTTAGGAGAAAGATGAAGCTTTCTGCTCCCATAAAGATTTACAGCCTTGGAAACCCTGTGCAGGGTCACTATGAGTTGGAACTGACTCCATGGTACTTAACAACAACAACTATTTGCTTACCAAAATTACATTTTTTAATCTAGAGAACAACCTTAATAGATTTGTGTGTATCATCAGCTTTTAATTTTATTAAATATTGAAGAGAATGTTAATTTATTAATATAATTTCTTTATGTATCTATTGTTATATATATAAAATTTTCCCCCCTCTGGAAATATTTTTTTTAATTTCCTATGAATAGAATGCACATAGCCAAAATGTGGTCTCAGAAAAACTAGCAAAGTTTATTAGCACACTTAGAGTTCTATGCAGTTTTGTATAGAATTATAAATTTTTACCATTTGCCCTTTACTCAACAGGTATATGATAGCATTTTTAGAATGTATTCAGTTGTACCATCTTGCGATGATTCAGAAATTTTAAGTATTTTCCATTTTGTCCTCGTGGTACACATAATTTTATTTTCACAAGCTAAGAATGTAATAAATAAAAATGCAATTGATGATGGCTTTGGATTTTTAAATCATCAGTGCAACTCTTCTATTTAGGTAATTGAATTGGAAAATCGGCTAAAGTCTTTTGAGAAAAGATCGAGAAAATTAAAAGAAGGAAATAAGAAATTAATGAAAGAAAATGACTTCCTAAAATCCCTTTTAAAACAGCACCAAGAAGATGCAGAAATCAGAGAAAAAGAACTGGACCATCTACTGAAAGGTAGTGGGGATTTTGAAAAAGAGAAAACTAAACTTCAATTGAAAATCAGTGACCTACAGAGAGAAGTTACTCTCCTTAGGGGCCAAGTGGTAGAAGCTAATGGGTTGAGAAATGAAAATGAAGAGGTGATGAATTCAGTGGGAAAATTGCAGCATCCGGCAGACAAAGCTAACGCTAAGATGGCCACAGCAGACGTGAGAACTGGACAATACGGTTGTAAGACCACCACTACCAAGGTTAAATTTAAAGCGGCCAAGAAAAAGGGCTGTGTGGGTCGCCACCACCCTGTTCTCAATCACTCCATCAAGGTTATGAGCAACGTGTTTGAGAACCTCAGCAAGGACGACTGGGAGGACTTGAGTGAAAGCAGGTAAGGCTCTCATTAACTTAGCTTGGTGGTGGGGACACTGTGCATATGTAAAGCACTGGCAAATGGAGATTGAATTTCAACTACTGTCGATTTGGTATTCAGAAAAAATACTGTCAGATCCTTTGAAATATCTTGGGAGGTCTTGTTCTGAGCTTATTGACTGAAATTTGCATGCAAAATTAGCCACAACTGCATGAGTATTTGAATAGGTGCCAGGAAACCCAAAAGAAGGCAATGCTTGATTTCTTCCAGTGATGCTATTTTCATGCAGTCATGAGGCTTGAAATTGACAGTTTGGCAGGTTGATTTAATTTGCTGGCCCTTTGCATATTCACCACTGACAGTTAAGGATTCCCAGGCAAGCCTACTAAGTCAGTTTAGTTATCTTGTGACATGCAGACTTGGGAGGAGAAACATTTTTCCCCCTTAATTTAGTTAGATAAATTTTGAATGACCCATTTCAGCTTGTTACCAGATGTCTACAAGCTGTTTAACATCCTTTAAATTAAGAACCATCTCCACTAATGATTTCATGTATGTATTATGCAAAGTCATTGTACTAACTTTAATTGAATGGTGGTTAAATTTAGTTCTTTAAAGTTCTATAGCTCTACAGATTTCTGGTCTTAAGTTGTATCACCCCTGGTGAATAGCAACAGGAGAATACTAAAAATCTATAATATTTCTTTCCCTTGCCGCTGGCTGTACATTCATATACACACTTGAAGCACATCAATACAACCACAAAAACAAATGTAAGATGCTTGTTGTTAAAGTGCTGTTAAGTCGGTTCCGACTCATAGCTGCCCTGTATAAGGTTTCTGAGCCCTTTAAAATTTTTGTGGGAGCAGAAAGCCTCATCCTTCTCAAGAAGTGGTAGAATACCTCTTTAAACCTAGAGAGTCGGGCAGTTCAGTGTTGCCAGAATTCATAACAGACAAATTATCCAGTTTCCCATACATTAAAAAAGTGCCTTGTTTTATTATATCCTTGTTGTTGTGTGCCACTGAGTTGGTTCTGACTCCTAGTGAACCTGTATAGTGTTTCTGAGGGGTGCCTGCTGCGTTTGAACCTCTGACCTTAACAGTTCAAATAGACCTTGCATTCTAGTGTTTATCCTTCGGCAAGACAGCAGAACTCTTTATTTTATTATAATGCCATGTATACAATTTTATTTTCTCAAGGTTGGTTCGTTGGTTGGTTTTTAATCCCCAGTAATGGTTCTGTTCTATATTTGGGATGCTTCTGAATAGAGTCCTTAATCATAAAACTGACAGACATCTTATAGTGTGATTCCCAAATTGTCTTCTATGGGAATCATTTTGTGATTTTGTAGAGGAAGCCCTGGTTCCAGTCATTAAGTGCTCAGCTGCTAACCAGAAGGTCAGCATTCGACCCTCCTACCACGCTGTGTGAGAAAGATGCAGCAGTCTGCCTCTGTAAAGATTTACAGCCTTGGAAACTATGGGGCAATTCTACTGTGTCTTTCAGGGCTATGATGAGTCATAATTGACTTGATGGTAATGGAGTATTTTGGGGGGCAGGGGTTGTGAATGTATAAAAAATTCTGAAGTCCATGTCACATCCAAGACCAATTAAGTTACAGTTTCTGGAGGTGGGATACAAGCCTCAGGAGTTTTGGAGCTCCCTGATGATTCCAGTATGCAGACACGTTTAGGGACCGCTGTGTTGATCATGGTGTCAAGTCTTGTGTCCTCAGGTGGCTTAAGAAACTCCAAAGACAAATTTATGAAAGTAAGAAAGAAAATTCCTGGTGTGGTCGTGGAGGATAAACACTGGACTGCTAGCTGTAAGATCAGTGACTCATACCCACCAGCTACTCCTCAGAAACCCTGTACAGGGTTGCTATGAACCAGAACCCACCTAGCTTCAGGCACTTAACAAAACCAACAAAGGAAGAAGGAAGACCAAATTGGCATCCCTGTCCCCTTAACCTCTTCCCAGGATCCATTTTCCTTCCCATAAAGCTTTAGAGATGAAAATCTTATTTAATTTAAAACCCATTAAGCATTTCTTGATATCCCCAAAGAAGTTCTAGTTTCAGCCATTTGGTACTGCCACACTCTAACTGTAATACAGTGGTGTCATTTGCCCTGTTGGAATATATGTTTAAAGAAATACATGGAAGGTATTTATTCATATTAGAAATCACTCAGTTCTTCCTGATTTCTTCATATTGGTGCATAAGCACAAGCTCACATAGTTTATGAGAAGTATCAGTCTCTATCTCCTAATACAGGAATGTCATGCAAGTTATTTAACAGCGCAACTCGGATTTTACACTGTGAGGATTAAATGTTATGCTTCCTGCCTGGCAGAACTCTCTCAGGAACCATTCAACTGCAGAGAAGAGTCAAACAATTAGAAATCCCAGAGTGCAGCTTCAGAGACTTCAGACCATCCTCTTTCTTTTAGTTTTTCATGGTCTAAAATTTAATAAAGTTACTTGGTTATTGGGGAAAATGGAACTTAGTCCTATATAAATATGGTATAAGGTGATTATTACCTTACTGATGTTTATTCCCCATTTTTTAATGATATGAAAAAGAACATACTTACTCAATAAAGAGGAGTCCTGGTGTGGCGCTGTGGGTTAATGTGCCAGACTGCAAAGCCATTGGAACTGCAAAGTCGGTGGTTCAAGCTCACCAGTCCCTCCTCGGAAACCCCATACAGGGTCGCTATAGGTCGGAACCGACTCAATGGCACTTAACAAGAACAACAATTCATTAAAGAGTGATAATCAGGAAAAAGTTGCTTATACTTTGTAGAAGAATAACAGAATTCCTGTAACCCTAGCAAATTTAAAGAAAAAAAAAAAGAAATTTACAGGAAATGCACAGAAAATGGGGTTTGCTTATTAAGTAGCTTTTCATTTTGACTTATATTTCCTGTTATTATGAAATTATTTCAACTTCTTGATCCCTTTCCTTAATCATAAACATTCATGATTCTGCATCTTCATTCCACCTGATGTAGGAAACATTTCTCTTTCCTCCTGCTACTACATTTATTCTCATTCAGAACTGCTTAAAAAGGCAATGGTGCACCTTAACCTTTCCTCTAATTTTTGCTTCTCGAATATCATGTCTTTCTTTTTTCCTTTGAAAATCTATAACCTTAGCCCTAAGCCATTTCCATCTTTCTTGCATTTTCACTAATAAAGGTATATTAATGTATTCACGTACACTACCACCTTTGGTAAATAACTGATTACAACTCTACTATTATTTGGCCTCTTGGTATTGCATTGTAGGATAAACACTTGACCTCAAGGTACAAATTACTTCAAATTTGTAGTTTTAGATAAACAGAAAAGGGAAATCGAAAGTAAAGACAGGTAAACAATGATTGTAGAACACCTTGTTCTCATTAACAACCTGCAATATGCAGATGATGCAACCTTGCTTGCTGAAAGTGAAGAGGACTTAAAACATTGACTGATGAAGATCAAAGAGCACAGCCTTCGATATGGATTGCATCTCAATGTAAAGAAAACAAAAATCCTCACCACTGGACCAATGAACAACATTGTTATCAACGGAGAAAGGATTGAAGTTGTCAAGGACTTCATTCTTCTTGGATCAACTATCAACACTCATGGAAGCAGTAGTCAAGAAATCAAATGACATATTACATTAGGCAAATCTGCTGCACAAGACATTTTTAAAGTGTTAAAGAGCAAAGATGTCAGCTTGAGAACTAAGGTGCGCCTAACCCAAGGCATGATATTTTCAATAACCTCATATGTGTGCAAAAGCTGGACAGTGAATAAGGAAGACAGTAGAAGAATTGATGCTTTTGAGTTGTGGTGTTGAGGGAGAATATTGAAAGTGCCATGGCTGTCAAAAGAAGCAATATATCTGATTTGGAAGAAGTGCAGCCAGAGTGCTCCTTGGAGGCCAAGATGGAGAAACTTCATCTCTCATATTTCAGACATATTGTCAGTAGGGACTAGTCGCTGGAGAAGAATATCATGTTTGGTAAGTTGGAAGGTCAGAGAAAAAGAGGAAGACCCCCCAACGAGATGGATTGGCTAAGTGGCAGCATCCATGGACTCAAGCATAGCAACAGTAGTGAGGTTAGCACAGGATCAGGCAGTGTTTCATTCTATTGTGCATAAGGTCACTATTATGAGTTGTTACTGAATCGATGGCACTTAACAACAACAACATAGAACACCTCAGCAAGTAGATTCTAGTGGTCCGATCTAGGCAAATTGAACTCTAGGATATTGGAATAACTTGTGGGTTTGATCAGTTGCTGTTAATTTCTGAAGGAGAACCTAAGTGGTATACGAACGTGGTAGGCAGATAAATGAAGCAGAAAAGTTTAAAGATAGGAAGGAAAGTAATTCTATGGGTGGTGGTTTTCTTGTCTTTTTCTTTCTCCAAATTTTATTTGGGGTAGAATATAGTAAAAAAAAAAAAAAAAAAGCTATTTTAATCATTTTTAATGTTAATTCACTGGCATTAATTACATTAATTGTGCTGTGCTACCATTATCACTATTCATTTCGAAAAGTTTTCTATCACCCCAGAAACTTGGAGTCCTGATGTGGTGCTGTAGAATAAGTGCTGGACTGCTAACCAAAGGTTGGCGGTTCAAACCCACCAGCTGCCCCTTAAAACCCTATGTAGGGTCATTGAGGCACTTCACAACAACAATGTACAGAAACTTATTACTCATACACCAGTATCTCCCATTCTCTTTTTTTCTCAGCACTAATAACATAGGCATTTACCTTGTCTGTTAAGTGTCTTCGAGTAGTTTCTGACTCATAGCGACCCAGTATAGAGCTTCCAATGAGCAGCTAGTGAGTTTGAACTGTTGACCTTGTTGTTCAAACCAACCCTATGGTCCAGTGCTTTTATCCCATGGCACCATACCAGGACTCCTTACCTAGTCGAGATATGGTACAAAAATCAGATCATACAATATTTTTGATTTGACATACTGTTTTCAAAGTTCATCCAGGCCACAGAGAATGTCATTTCTCCTTATGGCTGAGTAATATATCATTTGTGTTATTCTTTGTATATCCATTTATTTGTTGATAGTTTAGTTGGTGAACTTAAAATCAATTTTAAATAGATTCTAGGGCAGAATAAAGCAACAGGTCCTGAACATTTATTAAGGTAACTGTGATTTCTCAAGGCCACCATGTGCTCTTCAATGGAGATTCCCATTCTTTTTTGGACATGATTACACTAAACACAATCTATGTGAATTTCAACAGAGTATGTTTATCAAATTTATGGATAATGGAATATTGAAAGGCATGTTGAAAAGAATGGCAAATACTTTCAAAAACAAAATCGAGATCCCCCAAAATCCCAATCTAGGAAGATACAGTTTTAGAATAGGGTTTAGGTTATGAATCAGGCTGCTAACCTCATGGTCAGCAGTTCAAAATTACCAGCTGCTCCGTGGGAGAAAGATGAGGCTTTCTGCTTCCATAAAGATTTACGGTCTTGGAAACCCTGTACTGGGTCGCTATGAGTCAGAACCGATTCCACAGCACACAACAACTTGAGGACTAAGGTGTGCCTGACCCAAGGCATGGTATTTTCAATAACCTCATATACATGTGAAAGCTGGACAGTGAATAAGGAAGATGGTAGAAGAATAGGGTTTGTTTACTGGCCTATAAAATGCGACTATTTAACTATTGTTGTCATTAAATGCTGTCAAGTTGGTTCTGACTCATAGGGACCTGATATAAGATTTCTGAGGGACTGGGTAAGGTTTGAACTTCCAAACTTTCAGTTAGCAATCCAGTGCTTATCCTATAGCACCACACCAGGACTCCATTAAACTATAGAATGGGAGAAACAGGTGGCTTTGTAATATGTATCTACAGATATTCTAGGAAGTTAGTTATATGTCAGAAAAACTCATGCACTCTTAGTCTACGTCTACCAGGAGTCCCACTAAGTACTTGTCATAATGTACTTGGAATATAAAATTCAGTTTGGGACATGACATGCTAAGAAGAAACCAAAATATGCTGGAGCAAGGGTTTCTAGGGTGGTGATACATTTCAAAAGCAAACGTAATAGGACATTAAAAAATGTAACCATGTTTTTCTTGGAGAACTCTCTTGGTATATTTATCTACGTTTATATACTTGAAAGATTACTCATTTGGAAGAACACTTAGACTGACATTTTTTCCCAAAAAACCTGTTGCCTTCAAGTTGATTCTGACTCTTAGCAACCTCATAGGACAAGGTAGAAGTATCCATGGATTTACAAGATTGTAAATCTGTATGGAAGAAGCAAACTGTCACATCTTTCTCCAGGGAGCAGCTGGTGGATTCAAACAACCAATGTTTTGCTTAGCAGCTAAACAATTAGCCACTGTGCCAACCAGGGTCCTTTTATATGAACTAAACTCAATCTAAATACTTCTAACCTCCATTTTTACTTTAGTTTTTCTCTACTAATACACACCCTCCCCCCAAAAAAACACCCCACTGTCATGTAGTTGATAGTAATTCATAGCGGGCCCATACAGGGTTTCCAAGACTGTATATCTTTACTTCATCTCTCATACTTTGGACATGTTATCAGGAAGAAGCAGTCCCTGAAAAGGAACATCATGCTTGGTAAAGTGGAAGGCCAGTGAAAAAGAGGGAGCCCCTCAATGAAATGGATTGACACCATGGCAGCAACAGTGAGCTCAAGCATACCCATTGTGAGGATGCGCTGGACTGGGCAGGGTTTCGTTCCATTGTACATAGGTCACTAAGTCAGAACCAAATGGATGGAACTTAAAAACAAGAAATTTACACGAGCAGACGGCCTTATTGTTCTGTCATGGAGAAGTTGGTGGATTTGAAACAAAAAACATTGCAGTAACAGTTCAAGTCACTTCTGACTCATAGCAACCCTGTAAAAAGTTTCTGAAGAACATCTGACAGGTTTGAACCACCAAATCTGTGGTTAGTAGTCAAGTGCTTATCCTACTGAGCCACATAGGACTATATATTTTACTTCTCTATTACCTACCTCCCCATCCCCACTTGAATGAAGTCTAGAGGATGGCAGGCATTTGAATCCCCTTTGTTCATGCATTGTTTTGTCTCTACTGCCCAGAACAGTGCTTGGCATCCAACTGGTACTGAACAAGTGTTTTACTGGCTAGTGAAGAAGGACCATATGGATGGAAATGGAATCAGTGGGTCAAAGTGTCAGAGATTCACATTTTTCCCAGACAAAGGAAATACTTGGTGTTAGAAATGATAGAATATTCTGGTCTGGCTCAGGAAGTAAAGTGAGTGCCCTAACCCTGGACGTTTTCACATATGTACTTCCTGAGTTAACACTAGATGCCAAACTAGCTATCTCAGTGATGCCAAAGAGCATTTGATAGTAAATGTCTATTTGATGTCTCCAAGGAGTTCTGTAATTTTGGAAAATATATTTCGACTCAATTTTCCTTCTAATATTGACAAACCAGTAAATGCCCAAATTAAACTTAGAACTTTATTTATAACATGTTATTGTTAGGTGCCATCAAGTTAGTACCGAATCATAGCAACCCTATGCACAACAGAACGAAGCATTGCCCAGTTGTGCGCCAACCCACAATCGTTGTTATATTTGGGTCTAGCACTGATGCCACTGTGCCAATACATCTCATGTGGGGTTTTTCTCTTTTTTTCCAACCCTCCATTTTACCAAACATGATATCCTTATCCAGGGACTGGTCCCCCCCGACAACATGTCTGAAGGATGAGAGACGAAGTCTGGCCATCTTGGCTTCTAGGGAGCACTCTGGCTGTACTTCTTCCAACACAAATTTGTTTGTTCTTTTGGCAGTCCATGATATTTTTAATGTTGTCCTCTAGTACCACAGCTCAAATGCATCAATTCTTCTATGGTCTTCCGTATTCATCGTCCAAGTTTTGCATGCCTATAAGGTTCTTGAAAATACCATGGTTTAGGTCAGGTGCACCATAGTCATCAAACTGACATCTTTGCTCTTCAACACAGTAAAGAGGTCTAGTGCAGCAGATTTGCCTAATGCAATATGTTGTTAGATTTCTTGACTGCTGCTTACCTGAGTGTTGGTTGCTCCGAGCAAAATGAAATCTTTGACAACTTCAATCTTTTCTCCATTTATATGGATGCTATGATTGGTCCAGTGGTGAGGTTTTTGTTTTCTTTACGTTGAGGTGCAACCCATACTGAAGGCTGCAGTCTGTGATCTTCCTCAGTAACTATTCTAAGTTTTCTTTGCTTTCAGCAAGCAAGGTGGTATCATCTGCATATCGCAGGTTGTTAATGAGTCTTCCAGCAGTCCTAACACCAGGATTTTCTTCATCTAATCCAGCTTCCCAGATTATCTGCTCATTATACATATTGAATAATTATGGTGAAAGAATACAACCCTGGTGCACACCTTTCCAATAATATGTATCTATAATATAGACTATGCTGTCATTTGGTCTTGAACTTTAAAGATTATGTTAAACTATTGGATTTTATGTTTCCCCCACCCCTTTTTGTTCCCCCTAATGTAGTGATTCTGAAACACAGACTTCTCAGAATTTTGGAACAATTATTGTAGAAACATCCCAGAAAATAAGTCCTAAAGAAGAAGGAAAGGACCAGAGACAAAGTGGTCAAGTAAAAGACAACGAGTCACAAGGGAAAGAAAGAATCCAAATATATTCAAATATAAATGGCAAGACACCAAAGGTATAGCATATAGTTTTGCTTAATTGTCATCTATAGTCTTTATTTTATTTTATTCCTTGATAGAAGATTCTGTCTTTATATTAATCTTTTTTAAGATAAAGTGATTCAGTCAAAAATGTTAAATTACTGCTTTCTACCTAGTTCGCCAGTGCGTTTAATAGTTTTTAAAATGATACTCAAATACAGTTTATCCATTTTTTTGCCACTGATATATCATGGTATTACAAGATTTACCACTCAGCATAAATAAGGTAAAAATCTAAGAAAGTATCTTTTTTTGCCCTTTTAAATCATTGATACACCCAAGAATTGTGTACTGCGTGTCTGTTGATTGATTGAAGCTACTTTCTGTTTTGCCATATATTTGATTGATCATTTTCTTTAGTTTCTGTCATTTAGCTTAATCAGTTTGTAAATAAAAGTAAGGCAATATGGCGCTGTAGGATAAGCACAGGATCGCAGGTTCGTTTTGAACCCCAGGGTTTCCTTGGATATCCTATACAGGGCTGCTATGAGTAGTAAATGACTCAATAATACTGAACAACATAGGTCATTCATACAATAAGAAAGTGCATTATAAGCTACCTTGCTTAGCTCTGTGCACAGAATTTTGGTCACATTCCATCCCCAGGATCTCCTGCACAATTAACTACGCTTCAGTCAGTGGAGGCTTGTGTGTTGCCATGCTGTTGGTCAGGTTCAGTAGAGCTTCCAGACGAAGATGATCTAGCGGTCCATTTCTTAAAACACAGCTGATGGATCCCAATGGTTCTGTCTGCAGCCTATCCTGGGGACAGCAGAGGACTGGGCAACATTTCATTCTACGTGGGGGGTGTTACCATGAGTTGGGGGCTTACTTCACAGCAGCTAACATACATATATGCCTTGTTGAGATGGAGAAAATAAATGCTGACCACATTGGAGTAGCAGATTGTTCAGAATTTCTAGTCAGTCATGCTGCTGTATAAGCATTATACCAGCTTTTTTTGATTTTAGGTCAATTAACCAGAAACTCTGGTAGTGTAGTGGTTACCAATTGGGCTGATAACCTCAAGGTCAGCAGTTCGAAACTACCAGCTGTTCTGCCTGGGAAAGATGAGGCTTTCTGCTCCCGTAAAGATTTGCAGCCTTGGAAACCCTGTGCAGGGTCACTGTGAGTCTGAACTGACTCTACGGTACTTAACAACAACAACAACCTAAACACCAAGTCAAGTGGCTAATATTATTATTTTGGTAGTTCAACTAATTCTTTTAAGTACTTGAATCTCAATAAAGCAATGAGACTTTTTAAAAAACAAACAAACATGTCTTATTTGCTAGTCCTGCTGATAAATTCAAATTAGGCATTTTATTTTGAGAAATGAAACACTGTTAGTATGTTCTTGAAGCTGAAACTAATTTAAAGGAAAACCTTCACTTAGATAAGGATTTCTGTTATATTTGTTAATGAACCATTTTAATTACATTAGAGCCGTTCCTTATATGTTGTTGTAAAGTGCTGTTGAGTTGATTGTGACTCTTAACAACCCTGTTTAGGGTTTCCGAGGCTATTAATCTTTGTGGAAACAAAACAATTCATGTTTCTCCTGTGGAGCAGCTGGTGGGCAGGAATCACTAAGCTAGGGCCTATCCTACAGTGCCACACCAGGACTCCATATAATAGTATAATTTATATTTCCAGCAGCCTTAAATTCGTGAGTCATTGTCAAAGTAACAAGAGGAAAACATACAACTTTGAGGAAGGCCACTTAATTACCTGCACACATTATCCTAGCTTCAATTGTAAGAAGGGATGTTAGTCTTCATACGGTAGAAAACAGTATTTGAGAAATGGACATAGATACACAGATAATAAACTATCAAGTATTCATATTTTATTTGTTGCTCTTGTGTTTCCTTCTATTTTTTAAAGTTTCCCTAGGTTAATTTTTTTTTAAAAAATTGATTTTGTTTCTGTGCTTTCTGCCTGCTAGGTCACCTTGAGTACATAAATTTTGTTAGTTTTGGGGATCAAGTATAGAATTTTTTTATGATGTTAGTTCACTTGAAGTAATTATTGAATAGTAATCCAGTTTTTGTATAACTTTCAAATTTAGTCTTCTTTTCATTATAAGAATGTCAAAAAACCTGCTTTCCAAAAGAAGAATAATTTACAAAAGAGTTCACGTGCAGCAGTTCCTAATCGAGGTAAGAGAAACACAAATTTAACAACATGAGTATGTCTTTTAAAATGTGATGTCATTTAAAATATATTATGCACTTATTTTATATACAGCTAACAGAGAAAAGTGGAAAAGTTTAACTACCCAGAAATCGTGTAGCAATATTATTTTATTACGAGAACGGATTATATCTTTGCAACAACAAAATAGTGTACTTCTGAATGCCAAAAAAACCGCAGACTTGTCAGTAAAAGAATATAAAGAAATAAACGCAAAACTCCTTCATCAGCAGCAAATATCTGATCAAAGATTTCAGACAAGCCGGCAGACAATAAAGGTAAAGAGAGCTTTAAATTACAATAGACTATATCATAAAAGTAGATAATTTGTTTTACAGGTACTTTCTACAGCATATTTGTGTTATTTAAATAAGCCTATGTTGTTGTTTTTTAAATCTCCAATCATTGCTAACTAATGAATTGCAAAACTTATATAGATTCTGTGCAGGAGAAAGATGAAGCTTTCTGCTCCTGCAAAAAATTGACAGTGTTGGAAGCCTAGCAAATTCGCTTGTGGTTGGAACCAAGTCTACAGCACTAAAATAACAACAAATCTTTTAGTGAAGGACTTATGTTGTTGTTGTTGTTGTTAGGTGCCATCAAGTCGGTACTGACTCATAGCGACCTAATGCACAGCAGAACAAAACACTGTCCGATCCTGGACCAACCTCACTACTGTTGCCATGCTTGAGCCCATTGATGCTTCCACCTGGCCAATCCATCTCGCTGGGGGTCTTCCTCTTTTTCTCTCACCCTCCACCTTACCAAACATGATATCCTTCTCCAGTCACTGGTCCCTCCTGACAATATGTCCGAAGTCTGAGAGACGAAGTTTGGCCATCTTGGCCTCCAAGGAGCACTCTGGCTGCACTTCTGCCAACACAGATCTGTTGGTTCTTTTGGCAGCCCATGACACTTTCAATACTCTCCTTCAACACCATAAGGGAGCTTTAAAAACGTTGTGGAAAAATTGAATTAAATTACAATGGAATTTTTCCATAAGCTTTTTGACGCTCTCTTGTACACAAAGGAGGAAATTCCAAATAAGAAAAGACAAACACTTTCCTAGCATTCCTTTTTCACTTACTTTTTCTTCTTAACTTTTTTTGTGTGTTCTTTATTTAGTGCTATACTTAGTTGTTGAAAGCAGGCTCTATAAATGCAGTTAGATTGTCTGTTTGCTCATGTATAGTATAATTTATAACTATAAATTACATTATTAAGCTAGTAATACCCTTAGTTCTTCATTGCAAAATGTGAAAATGTGAATTTAAAGTGTGAAAATACCTTATTACAATAAAGTAGTTCTGTTGACTTTTCTGTAACAAATGTTTTGCCACATGGTACCTTAGCTCTGACTACCATCACGTAATCAGAAAGCAAATGAAAAACTAGCATTGTTTATTCCATAATTTTAATTCATAAGAGTATTTTCTTGCAGAAGGAACAATACACTGGGTATTTGCTTTATAGAGAAACATTCTTTTCGTATTAGAAAATACATTTTAAATCACTTTCATGTAATTCTAAATTACATTTAATTTCTTTACTTCTAATATTTAGTGCTGTCACTCAAACAAGGAGCTCTGGTAGCATAGTGGTTACGACTCGGGCTGCGAACCGCAAGGTCAGCAGTTCGAAACTACCAGCTGTTCCATGGGAGAAAGATGAGGCTTTCTGCTCCCGTAAAGATTAACAGCCTCGGAAACCCTGTGCAGGGTCGCTATGGGTCGGAACCAACTACATGGCACATAACAACAACAACAGTCAAACAGTACTTGGAAATGTTTTAATAACAAAAGAGTAGTAGTGTCATGCTAGTAAGCACTGTGTCTGACTTCATTATGGGAGTAACCTTATATCCAAAGTTAACTCAAGTTCCAAACTTCAATTAGAATTTAGAGGATTTCACAGGTTTAGCCCTTAGAAATTTGGTAGTAGGACAGCAGAGATGACTAGAGTTTATACACAGTAACAACTGGATGAGAAGCAGATGTCCTGAAATGATTTGAAGAATTCATACACATTCTTTGGAGCACTGGCAGTGTTCTAAGATAAGCCCTGGACTGATAACACCGGTCGGCAGTTAGGGCCCATCAACTGTTCATTGAGAGAAGAGGCATTCTGCTTCTGTGAAGATTTACCGCCTGGGAATCCCTATGTTAGATCTGACTTGACAACCTTCTAAGACCAATAACATCCCTACTTTACTGAGATTTTTCTCTTCTTTCCTCTTAGTGTTTACATTCTTTTCTTCATTGTTTCTCCCTCCATTCCTTTATGCCTTTTTCAATTAGATATTTTATTGTCTATCACACCTTGTTACTATAAACTATATAAGTTCCTGACTTGTTCTGCGCAAATGCCTAAACAAAATGAAAGAACCTTTATTAAAATGAAAAATATTTTTCAACCCTATCATCTGAACCGGTATTATATCAGAAGCATATGAATGCTCTTCAGTTTGTCTTCAATTGTAAGCTAGACCAGGCCACTGGTTTCTTCTGATTACTGAAGAGTAAAATAAAATCACCTGGTCTTCTCATATTGTACAAGAAGGTCACAGTGGTTACACAAAGCATTTGGCCATCCTTTTGAACAGGAATTTTCTTCATTGAAGGTTGATAGTGGTGGTATATTCACGTGCTTTTGGACTTTCTTTAAATTATATTTGGTATGAGCAAAAGTAAAATGATAAATTAAGGATTCAACTGAAAATCTGCTATTTTATTTTAACATTAGCTACTTCAGATGGCACCTTCTTGCACAGCCAACATTTTTTATATTATAGATGATAGAACTTATGTTTCCTTTTATAGATGTCATTATCCTTTTTAAAGCAGATACTTTCATAGGAGATAGACAGGTGTTGTTGTTGTTGTTATGTGCCATGGAGTCAGTTCCAACTCATAGCGATCCTGTACAGGGTTTCTGAGGCTGAATATCTTTATGGGAGCAGAAAGCCTCATCGTTCTCCTGCGGAACAGCTGGTAGTTTCGAACTGCTGACCTTGCGGTTCTTAGCCCGATTCTTAACCACTATGCTACCAGAGCTCCTTATAGAGAGGTATAGGAACATGTAATATTAATGTACTCCTGGAAATGAAAATTTAGAAAATTTCCATTTGAAAAATCATTGTGAATTCAAATCACACTACTGACTGACTAGAAGAGCTGAGTTGTACATTCCATACATATAAAAGAATACCCATAGTAATAGTGGTGCTGTGGAGTCACTGCCGACTCGTAGTGACCCTGTATAGGGTTTCCATGGCTGTAAATCTTTACAGGAGCAGAAAGCCTCATCTTTCTCTTATGGAATGACTGGTACTTTTGAACTGCTGACTTTGGTCTACAGCCTGAGTCATAACAACTATGCTGCCAGAGCTCCTTTTAGTATAGTAATTAAATTGAGATTATCTACAAATCAAGTTGCACATTTGGCATCTAATACTAACCTCTCAAGCTGTATAGGGTACAGAGAATTTCTTTAGTCAGAATCTTAGTCCCTGTGGACTGAAACACATGCACAACTCTAGATGGAAGATTTTCGTGTCCTAAATCTCCTAAACTGAGAAATGTTGCAGCTTATCCAGCCTGAGGCTTTGCTAAGCCCTGGTGGTGTAGTGGTTTAAGTACTTGGCTGCTAACCAAAAGGTGGGTGGTTTGAGCCCAGCAGATGTTCCACAGGAGACAGATGTGGCAGTTTTCTTCCATAAAGATTACAGCCTTGCAAAACTTAGGGACAGTTCTTCTCTGCCAATTAAGGGGTCTTCATAATGTTCAAGGAAAAATGAAAAGATAATGGAATTTTTACATGAATGTTTCGAAGACCCCTCATACATAGTTCTATGAATCAGAATCGACTTGAGGGCAGTATGTTTGGTTTTTGATTTTGGTTGATGTCTGTGATAATTTTTTTAAATGGAATTAATTGAAAATTATTAAGTCGGCCTACCTTTTACTGCCTATTTATGATAAAATGTCCTTGTGTTTGGTAGCATTATTATTTTATATCTAAATCTTTATTAAAAATGATTGCTCTAAAGGCATCTATAGGCTTTCCATTTAATATACATTAATAGAGTCTTGGTGTGGTGCTGTATGATAACCACTGGACTTGTTATTGTTGTTAGGTGCCATCGAGTCAGAACCGACTCATAGCGACCCCATGTACAGCAGAATGAAACAGTGTTCGAACCACTGGACTATTAACCACAAAATCAGCAGTTCAAACCCACTAGCCACTCCTCAGAGACCCTATACAGGGGTGCTCAGCGTCATTTAGCAACAATAGCAGTGACTCTTAACTAATGTAAATGTCAGTGTCGTAACAACCTCTATGCTGGTGTGATACTGTGGGTTAATGTTCTGTAGAGCAAAGTCAGTGTGAACTGAAAGGTCGATGGTTCAAGCTCACCAGTCACTTCTTAGAAACCCTACACAGGAACACTACGGGTCAGGACTGACTTAACGGCACTTAACAACAACAACATGCTGGTGTGGCACAGTGGGTTAATGCACTGGACTGCAAGGCCAAAGTCACTTTGAAACACAAGATCGGTGGTTCAAGCTCATTAGCCGCTCCTCAGAAACCCTATACAGGGTTGTTATGAGTTGGTACCAACTCAACGGTACTTAACAACAACAACATGCTAACATTTCTTTGTTTAGGAAAAGCTTTCAAGGATTATGGCTTGAAAAGAATATCGGGCTTCCTGTATGCCATTGGCAGTCAAATTGTTTAAGAGGTTGATTGTTATTGTTAGTTTGCTTGGAATACATTCCAACTCATTGTGACTCCATGTGTGCAGTGTAGAATTGTTATATAGGGTTTTCATGGGGTTGGTTGATAGAAGTAGCTTTTCAAAGTATACTTTATGTAAGGGAGTACTGGGCTTCTGTTTGAGGTGATAAAAATGTTCTAAAATGGTCTGGTGATGGTTGCACATATCTATGGATTGTGTGGTAGGTGAATTTTATCCTAATTATGTGATTTAAAATAACTGTTAATAATAAAACACAGGGATGTAGTAGTATCTGCATGTGTTGTTGATAATACATTGGCTTATTGTTTACATAATGATAGGAATCATTCTCTGTTCAGATTAGCAAAGTCTGGTGTGATGCTGAGTGTGAATGCACTAGACAACAAGATCAGTTTGAAGTGCAAAGTCGGCAGTCCAAACAAACCTACCAGACACTCCTTGGAAACCCAGTGTTGTTGTGGCTACTAAGTTTTATGTATATATATACATACATACATATATATACACACA